TCAACAAACATGTCCATGCACGGAGGAGTTTGAAGTCAGTTTGTGTCTTTCTCCTTTTCGCTTCCCTCTCCTCATTCTCCTTCTACCATCCTGATCTTCCTTTTTTCTCTACTCTCCATCACAACTGACTGCATAATTTAGTGCATTATGGTATTTCAGCTCTCCATAATCTTCTCATCTATTTATATAGTTTTGATTGGTTCTTTCTWCTTAACATAAAAATGAAGTTTCCTATGGTATATTTATTTATGTACATAGTGTGGTTTTTAAAAAATATGTCATATTTTCTCCCCTTTCTCATCGCTTCTCTCTCCCTCTCAATTTCCTCCTTCTCCTCTACTTATTTTACCTATATCTTTGTGATYGCCATCCTTCCCTCCTTCCTTTGTTTTGCTCTAGCTTCCGTATGAGAAAACATCCAACACTTGATTTTTCTTAGACTGGCTTATTTCACTTAGCAGGATGTTCTCCATTTCCGTCCAATATTAGCAAATACCATTATTTCATTTTTCTTCTTTGAGGCTGAATAAAACTCCATTGTGTATGTACACCGGTTTCTTCATATGTTCATCTATTGACAGGCATCTGGGTTGATTCATAATATGGTTATTGTGAATTATGCTGCTGTAAACATGGAGGTGGCTGTAACATTATAGTATGTTGACTTTAGTTTTTTTTTGGATAAACCAAGGAGTGGGACAGCTGGATTGTATGGTGATTCCATTCTTAGTTTCTTGAGGAATCTCCATACTGAAGAAGCTCCAACTTTACCCCTTTCTCGGGGGACACTGGATCCTCTTGTTGTCTGCATAAGAGATGTATGCACAGCCTTTTTCTAGTGATGGCATTGGAAAGAGCATGCCACATCTTTGACAATATTCCTTTTGATACAARTGTTGTGAACCTGGAAAGAGACTTGTTTGTCATCTGAAATGTCTTGTGTGTTCTCCACAGAAAAAAAAACCAAACTTGTAAGTTTCTTACAGGACCTTGTTGATTGTATTTCATGTCTACTACATCAGTAGCAGGAATATCCYGTATCTGCCTTGTTCCATCATGGGGTCACTGGGTGACTGTTGAACATTTATTGTTAATTGTACTCTTTTGGGGGGGGGAGCAGGGGGAGAGAGAATCTTTCAATATTTATTTTTTAGTTTTTGGCGGAYACAACATCCCTGCCTATATGTGTTGCTGAGGATTGAACCTGGGCCGCACGCATGCCAGGCGAGCGCGCCACCKCTTGAGCCACATCCCCAGCCCGTTATTTGTATTCTTGATAATTGCCATTCTGACTGGAGTGAGATGAAATCTTAATGTAGTTTTAATTTGCATTTCCCTCATTGCTAGAGATGTTGAACTTTTTTCATATACTTGTTGACCATTTGTATTTCTTTTTTTGAG